CCCAACCAGTAACATTAGCCAACCCTACCAGTAACATAAGCCAACCCAACCAGTAACATTAGCCAACCCTACCAGTAACATAAGCCAACCCTAACAGTAACATAAGCCAACCCTACCAGTAACATAAGCCAACCCTACCAGTAACATAAGCCAACCCAACCAGTAACATAAGCCAACCCTACCAGTAACATAAGCCAACCCAACCAGTAACATTAGCCAACCCTACCAGTAACATAAGCCAACCCTACCAGTAACATAAGCCAACCCAACCAGTAACATTAGCCAACCCTACCAGTAACATAAGCCAACCCAACCAGTAACATTAGCCAACCCTACCAGTAACATAAGCCAACCCTAACAGTAACATAAGCCAACCCTACCAGTAACATAAGCCAACCCTACCAGTAACATAAGCCAACCCTACCAGTAACAGTAACGGAGCTGAAACAAGCATTCAACTTAAACACACAACATTTTTGTTTGAAAAAAAAAAGAAAAGAGATTCCAAGACTTGTCCTGTCAACAACTGACACCGCCTCAACAAATCTTTCAGTGACACACACACACACACACACACACACAAGGTCACCCCACATGCTGCATGCAAAGCTTCACACCACACACATTCACTACACCCAACACTTTTATTTTCCTCTAATTGAATAAAAATGTATTTGTGTTATACACCCATAAAAATTTACTTTTACAAACAAAGCAAAGGCAAATTCTGACAAGAGAAGAACAAATATACCAGACAGTTCACATTATCATCCAAAGCCAACATATTACATCATCAATGAAAATCTTCATGGCGGGAATTACTAAGGGAAATAAACACACCAGCTAGCCCAAGTGTGCACGGTGGGGAAATATATGTCGCACACGCGTCCACATGTCACCCACACACATCCACAGGCCAATATGTCACACACACGTCCACATGTCACACACACACATCCACAGGCCAATATGTCACACACACACATCCACAGGCCAATATGTCACACACACACATCCACAGGCCAATATGTCACACACACGTCCACATGTCACACCACACACATCCACAGGCCAATATGTCACACACACGTCCACATGTCACACCACACACATCCACAGGCCAATATGTCACACACACGTCCACATGTCACACACACACATCCACAGGCCAATATGTCACACACACGTCCACATGTCACACACACGTCCACATGTCACACACACGTCCACATGTCACACAAACGTCCACAGGCCAATATGTCACACACATGTCCACATGCCTCTCTTTACACTGTTTTACAGCACCAGATACCCCACATCAGACAGACATGTCAGACAGACACGTCAGACAGACACGTCAGACAGAGATGTCAGACAGACACGTCAGACAGACAGAACTTATCAACAAGGATGAAAATACAGCACAATACAGTCATTTATTCTCAAATTTTCAAAATAAGATGAAATCATCAAACCTACCCTGTCTCCCCATGGTTCCTGTTCAAATGGTCAGTTCCAACAGAGCAAGGTTGACAAATATCTCAGAAAAAGGAGAAAGAGAAAGACAGATTGAGAGAAAGAAACAATTTTTAAAAATCTGTTGTCGGACCAAAGACACTAAGTTGAAGAGACAAAACCTAAAAAGATCCAAAAACATTGACAGAGCACCACATTGGAACACGAGTGGAATCCATGGAGAGAAACTTTCCCCCACCCCGGGCCCATCCCTCCCCGGCACAAAGCCGACAGCTCATGCTGCTCTCGCTCTTCTACAGTCCACCATCTACACAAACACTTTACGCAACAAGATAAATCTCTCAAATACACTTTTGTCATATATATATATACATTTCTTCCTTTGTCATATATATATATACATTTCTTCCTTTGTCATATATACAAAAGCATTCTCCTCAATAACACCACTTTCAGAACAACTGATCAGACTGATCATCAATTTTTGAAAACACAATGTCCCACCACACGTCAGAGTTAACCACGGCGTGACATATACGCCAGAGTTAACCACGGCGTGACATATACGCCAGAGTTAACCACGGCGTGACATATACGTGACATATACGCCAGAGTTAACCACGGCATGACATATACGTGACATATACGCCAGAGTTAACCCCCTCGAGACAAGTCAGAGTACACAGGTGATTGCACACATGAACATGAAGAAAAAAGAAACCACAGGGCAGGTTGAAGACAAAAGGCTAGGAAATGAATTCTAACTGCAAAACTTATCCCCAACAATAAATACATAATTCACATGAACTGTGAAATGAAATCAACAATACAAACAAAAAAACCCCAAACCAAATCATGTATTTTTGATTCTAGTGGCTTTGTAGAAACAATAGACAATAATATTAATCAGCAACTTTGCACAGAAAATACATTCACATCTCTAAACACGGAAAAAAAAAAAAGCAACGAAAAAGAGATATGAACAGAAAGCAACGAAACGTGCAAAATGATTCATTTGTGGGAAAATAGTTCCTTGCAGCAAAACATTCGTTTTATCGGAGATGTGCAAACAAGGACAAAATTGGTCAACATCGACGGAGCAGCTGGGTACAGAGGTAGGTCTACCACAGGTCAACATCTCAGCTCGTGGCAATCAACGTCCAACACTCCGCCAAAACCATCTCCATTTTTCTTCCCCAAACCTCCAATCTATCAAGAAAAGTCAATAAGTCAGCTTGTACTTCTCTGCATGTCCCAACTATTTCTAAACTCTCGCAATTTTAAACAGATGATGTTCTTTCTGTGAAAATATCAAAAATATCCAAAATATCAAATTGCTTTACATTTTCTATGGCGTACGTCTTCCTACAGTATTTCTGTCTCCAGTGACCTACTTTCACAGGCACATTCCCCACAGCCTCAGGACACAATATCTGGGGTCTACAAGGCCCAAATGTTCTCAATATAACCCTAAACCTAACCCTAACCCTAAACCTAACCCTAACCCTAACCCAGCTTCAACTTAAGCAAAAAACAAAACAAAAAAAGGAAAAAAGTTTGTTTTTCCACAACACATAATCTACAGCAATAGAAGCGAATGTGTTGTGGAAGGACTACCGCTACATCTGCAACACAAACTTTTGTCACTCGAAAAACAAGAAACAAAATTACGGGAAGGGGAAGTCATATCCTGGAAAACCCCGAAATCCCACCACTTTTTTGTGTACAAATGTTGAGCAGCCACGCGGGTCAGGGAAAACATCCAACCAGACGTCCAGCGTGGTCGGACACCAGATGTCCAGCGCGGCCAATTGGACACCAGACGTCCAGCGCGGTCAGTTGGACACCAGACGTCCAGCGCGGTCCATTGGACACCAGACGTCCAGCGCGGTCAATTGGACACCAGACGTCCAGCGCGGTCAATTGGACACCAGACGTCCAGCGCGGTCAATTGAACACCAGACGTCCAGTGTGGTCAGTTGGACACCAGACGTCCAGTGTGGTCAGTTGGACACCAGATGTCCAGCGCGGTCAATTGGACAAACTAGACCAAACTGATAGTGAAAGTCTGCCACTAGAGACAGCACAAGGGTTCATGTTGCGGCCTCCCACAAGATCAGCTCAGCGTCTCATCAACCAAGCACAGTAATGATACAAATCAGAACATGCACTAGTACAAGTATAAATAAATCTATCAAAAAGCAGCCGTCACAAAACTGAACGACCTGCTGGAAAATACAGAGTCGAGCATGGCCACAGAATGAGAAGTTCATTGAGATACGCATCATCATAGCATCTTGGTTCCTAACAATGAACGTCAACTCCACTCTTAAAAATGTGGTGTCTCTCTCACACTCACGCACTCACACACACCCACACACACATACACTCAGACACGCACCCACACACACAGTAAAAATGTTCTCTTCACTGTACTGCGAAATATATATATACATCATAAAATTCCCAGCAAGCGAGTCCCAGCGCTTCCCCGAACCCTTCTCCCTGTCCCCCACACACACAGACACACACACATACACACCCACACCAGACCACAGGGGCACAACATGTGGATGTGTGTACTCTTTTGCCAAAAAACGAGGAAAAAAAACAACTTCAATGTTCAGCAATTTCCCACTTCATAAGAGCGATCAGCCCCTGTACACAGGATGCTCAGACATATGACATTTGAAAGACAGACAAACAGACATATATATAGATAAATCTGACACACACACAAGTTCCCACACAGGCAATAGGCCTATATATAAACAACCTCACTGATATGAACTCACACCAAAAAAACTCCCCAAACAAAACAGATGATCCAGGACTTTTTTGACAAAGCTAACAGCTACGCCCTTATAGTAACCAACAGTTGTGGTGTTATACTGTAGAAATCTTCCCAAACTTCATCTATGCCACACAGAAATGTTAAGAAGCCCATGGAACCAAATCTAATCTTGGCATCGTGGTGGGGGAACCACAAAAAACTAGGAACAATCGAGATGGCTGCAATTCACCAGGAAAGGGAAAACCCTTTCTAATCTGGGCTAACAAGGAACCGACTAATTTACAAATAATAGACCCAAAAGCATTATAATTCAAGGCCATTAAATCCACTAAAATCTGTTGTTTTCCAGTCGTCATTGGTGTCCAGTGTTTTTTGTCTTAAAGGATCACATATACAGAAATAACTCCATCAGACAAGAGGGGTTCGGGAAAACATTCGAGAGAGAAGTCCACCAAACAAAACTCCCAGCTTCCAACCCTCCCAGCTGTCCACGTCCAACGTTCTCGGTGATGATGAGATGACGTCTGGCCATGGAGAACATTGGCCCTTGTTCCCCGCACCACACACACAGTTCACACACACACACACTTCACTGTGAGAGTCACACACACACACACACACACACACACCAGTCCACTGTGAGAGTCACACACACACACACACACTTCACTGTGAGAGTCACACACACACACACACACACACACACCAGTCCACTGTGAGAGTCACACACACACACACACACTTCACTGTGAGAGTCACACACACACACACACA